ATCTTGTTTGAAAATCAGCATCAAGAAAACGCGCACATCCTGTTTACCAAAATTCAAATTTTGGCCTAGATAAGCTGCAAACCACTATACTCTATAACGCGCTGCCCAACAGGAGAATTGCATAACAAGGTTATCTTGACACTGAAACTGACCAGTGAAGCCACTCCTAATCTGCTGCCTCGGAGTTTAAGAAATATGATGCAAACAGGCGAGACCGTCATAAATCAGGCTGTGTTAATTATTGTAAACAGTTTGTTTATTATTTTGTTTTCTTTTTAAAATTAAAGTATCTTAAATTTATTCAATGAACTTTGTATTGATTACAAGTCTGTGAAATCAATAAGACTTTTAAAGAAAAAAAAAATGCATTATTGAAAAAAGAAAGAAAATACCGGGATACGCAAGTGATCGAGTTGCAGTAATATTAATGTCTTCGGAAAATTTTTAAAAGCAATTTTTCATTTAACCCCAATCTTCTCTGGATATTCTATGCATTTTATTTTCTCAGACAATTGGGTTAGTCGTGAATATTTTCAAAACATTTTGAAAATTACATTACAAAATGTTGCATTAATGCTAGATAAAATGTTATAGACTTTAGAAGAATAAACGTTAAAGTCAATGTTCTAAAAACATTTTTACAACATACTTTGAAAATAAATAAATGCATTAATATTGAAAATGACATAAATGTTTTAAAAACATTTTGAAAATGTTTCTATAAAATGTTGCATAAATCATAAATAAAATGTTTCAGTTGTAGGAGGAGAAAACGTTTTGTGAAATGTTTTAAAAACATTTTCACGACCAACACCTGAAAACATTTAAATATTATACTATAAGCAGTATGTAGAATGTTTTAAAAACATTTTGACGACGTTCCTTCAAAATGTTTTAGAAAAGTAACATTACAATGTTACAGATTTATAGAAGAGGAATGTTTTATATTATGTTTTAAAAACATTTTTATAACGTAATACGAAACTGTTTAATATATGCAAACAAAACATACCTTTCGAATCATTTTTAAAACGTTTCAAAAACATTTTATTGAAATGTTCCTTAAAGATTTTACCTTAACCATTTTGAAAACATTTTAAAAATGTTTTTAAAATGTTACAATGGGAAAAAAAATGTTTTAAAAACATTTTGAAAATGTTTACTCTGAAATGTTTTGAAAAAACCTTTTTATAACTGCAGTAAAATGTTTTGAAAATGTTTTGTGCTACCTGGGTACCGGTCTCGATAGCCTAGTGGTAAGGAATTTGTAGTTTGGAGGTACCGGATTCGATTCTCGTTCCCGGCGACGCATCAGACCTAAATCATTAACATAGGCAGTGACTGTTCTTTCGCCAAGCTTCAAGTACTAGAAGTAAAAGTTGCAGGTCTTTCGGGTGATACCGCCCGGTGTCGCGGTACACGATAAAGAACCCTCACCGCTCAATGGCCTTGAGTGCCGAGTATAGATCTCAGTTTGAAGCCCTTCAACGGTATATAGTGAGTGAAAAATTCTCGCATGGGACGTTAAACAACAATCAATCACCAAGCAATACTACTTTCAAATACACTTAATTTACCACTAGCTGTGTTAGGGATAGCTCTTTAATCAAACCCACAATTAACAGGCACATTTCTCTGAGGGTTTGCACGAGGGGAATAATTCCTATCAAGGATTTGATGAAAGAGCTATCCCTTACATCCCGTTGAGAATTGATTTATTATACTGATGAATATAATTTCTGATGTGAAGATTTTTATTTTATAACCCGGTGTACGGACAGCTTTGTGGAACTCTTTAGTGTTGGAGAGATCGCCAATCACTATTATTTCAGGAAATCATTTCGTTTTTCATGGGGCGAATTCAGGTTAAGAAAATATCTCCTTGGAGTTACATGTAGGTTGGGTCACAAGATGGGGTAAAAATTTTTCGAGGGAACGTAGAGGGGAAATGTCTTTAAAATCTGATGATGATAAAGGCAGAACCAAGGTGATTCAGATAAGCGTCGGGACCCAAGAGCCCTATGTAAAGACAAGTATCCATGTTTTTTCCAATTTTTTTTTTCTTTTCTTTCTCATTCAAATTGATATTTGTTTGATTAGTTTTAAATTGGATTACTTTCTTTGCGTTCCAGCGAGATTGACACAACAATTCCTGTTTTGTATACTGTACAGTGTGTAATTTGCTTTAATCATACAGTAAGTAATTGTTTACTAAAGTGACATTGTGCATACATGACATTTATGATACAATATATGTACTAATTCACTTTATATAATTTGTGAATTTCTGCATGTGTTTGAGTATTTTTTGAGTTAATTTATGGACAATAATAACTAACATTTCTGATATACAATTTTTAAACAATTTTACTTTTAGAGATTTTTTTCCTCAGTTTGTTGGCAGAGTTTCTAAATCTAGCAGTTTATAAGGGATAATCATTAATCAAGGAAAAAAAATAATATTGGCTAAATTCTCAAATTGCTCGGGATTAAGCATATAGAAATATTTCTGTCTTAGATTTTTATACAAAACGCAATGTCAAAGAAAATGTGTGTACATGTCTGTAGGGTGTGTTTGTATTTGTATAAAAAAAAGATCAATTTATTACCCAAGCTAGTCTTTAGACTATACCTCTTGCAGTGATCTTAAACCTTCAGTATATCCAGTGGAGATCAGGGACATTTGCATCCTACATTATACGAGCTTTAAGAAAATATATGATGGGAAGTTATCTATTACCCGATCATGAAAAGGAGCACACGGCGTGTGTGACCGGTTGACAGGGGATACTTACTCCTCCATGGCATCTGATCCCACCTCTTATGTATCTAGAGGTCCGCGTTTGCTCTGCTCCCAATTTGTATTGTTCCAATTTACTTTTGAGTTTGATTATTGTTCGTTATCTTCATATTTCACTATAAGAATTATGAATACGTATTTAGAATATTAAGGGATTAAGAGCTATTCTCTGTAGCCACTTAAACTTTTTTGCCACGCATGGTCACGATTGTGATGAAAATTTGCTCACTGTTGCAGCATGAAACCAGAAACATATATCGAATACAATTTGTTGTTATGTGTCTTGGTGACCATGGTAACAGACGGAAAAGTGTGAAAAATCGAAATTTTCAGCTAATTTGAATCTTTATTGAACCTTAATAAAGACTAAGAAAATTAAACAAACCATTCTCTGAGACTCACAAAAACATTACACCTTAATTGTTGCCACTTATGCTATAAAGAAACTATTTAGAAAATATCTCTAAGTAAATGGTAACCATGGGTACATTTGGAATACATTTTGAATGCTGAAAAACGCTAAATGTTCACTGATGATAGATGTTACATGATCAAACTCAATCAATTACACAAGAAAAACAATAAAAATATTCTAAAGTAATTAGGTATTGGCAATATTATTATAAAAATAACTTTCATGGTTGCTATGGTAACGCAGTGTAGTCATTCAAAACTTGTTGCCAAGTTTTGGTTAATGCTGCTATCTTGAGGAAAAGAGTGGAAATTGAAGACTGATAAAATACTTTGTTAGGACCTTGCAACAGATAGCAAAAGACAATTTAGATAAATTGCTACTCGTCCGGTTACCTTGTAATCAATAAACATATTATTTGACTCATCTTGAATTGTACTGAACTAAAGTTGAATATCATATATTGATAATGTTTGATGAAGAAAATAAATAATAAGAAAAAATAACACTGTTGCTATTGTTACCAAGAATGGAAAATATTCAATGTTGTTAACTTTACAGCAATATATAGCCCTATGTGGTAGCTTCTTGCATCCAGTTAAAGATTGCGTGGTAGTCAAAATTGAAAGTCAGGTTAGTTGTTTATGAATATCAATCATAGAAGTTTTGGGAATCTACATACAAGGGTACGTATCCAAGAAAACAAAATATTTTTCAGCTTTTATACATATTTTTCCTAAAAATTCCATTGTAACGCTCTATTTACTATTATTATTATTTTATTAATTTATAAAGCGCAAAATTACATATAGTTTCTATGCACTGTACAATGTTTTTGCTAACATTCAATGACAATATATCAACAAAAGGCCTATCAGAGGTATGATAAAATTATTATGAAAAGTAAATGATCGATAAAACATAGAAAAACCTTAAATAAAACATATTTAACGAATTTAATTTGAATTTTTTGAAATGTGAAAATTAGGACCACACCAATGCCTTTAAAAATTGAGCACCAGTTATACAGAAATGTGGTTTTTGAAAAGATAGGTTCAGATTAAATCATACAGAGAGTAGATTTGAAATATCTTTGCGGTATTAAAACCATGGCAACCATTGCCAACTAATAAGAGATATCAAATTTCGTCCTTGGTATATGTTACCAAGGATCTTTATTATTTGTTTGCATTTCAACCTATAATTGGTTTTATTTTTGTATGATCTCATAAAATTGAATGAACTAAATTATTACTTTTGAATACTTTGTTTCCATAGTAACATATAAAATAGTTGATTTACCAAATATGTTTATCATGCATTTAAGACATCAGGCCTTCAACCTTTGGAAACAGCCATTGCCACTTGTTTGCATTGCTGCAAACATTAACTATGCGACTCTGTACATGTTCAAAAATGCCATTTTTCAAACTTAAGGGCATGTTGCCATGGTAACCATGACACATAGAAATCAATTTTTGCCTGATTTGAGTTTACAGTATCACTTTCATCATAAAGAGAGTTTGGAGAAATTCTGAGTCTATGCATGCCACAGCTCCTATACTTTATAGAAGTTCAAGTCAATACAGAAAATGGCTCTTAACGAGTTCATGTTTGACACTAAATTTGACAATCATAAGGTTCGCATGCAACACGTTTTTTTCTTCAGTGGTGGTGCTACACACATATTTATAATCAAAATGAGTACAAAAGTTGAAAATTTCTCATTTAAATGTATCCAGGCAGTGCACAAATCATACGGCAGAAACAAATTAAGAAATCTGAGAATCAAAGTATCAACAAAATTTTATTATACATATTAGTTAGTACCCAAAGAAAGTTCTTGTCACAGGGAAAAGACATGTTAAAAATATCAAAGCCCTAGCTCCACCCATTCAAAAGTTATGGCCAACGTTCAAGTTTTTCAAAAATAGGTCAACATAAAGTTCAAGGTCAAAGGATAAAAAATATTTTTACCCAAGGGAAGGACTTATTACAAGGAATATACAGGTGAAGTATGAAACTCCTAGCACCAACTGTTCAAAAGTTATGGTCATGTTAAAGTTTTTCAAAAGTAAGTCAAACATAAAGTTCAACGTCAAAGCCTCAAAATTGTTTGTACCCAAGAGAAGAACTTATCACAAGGAATATACATGTGAAATATGAAAACCCTAGCACCAACCATTCAAAAGTTATGGCGAAGGTTAAAATTTGGTAAAATTCTGCAAAAGTGAGTCAAACTCCAAAGTCAAGGTCAAGAGGTCAAATATGTTGGTACCCAAAGAAAGGTCTTGTCAGAAGGAATAGTCAATACACATGTGAAATATGAAACCCTAGCTCCAACCAATCAAAAGTTCCGGTGAATGTTAGAGTTTTTGCAGACAAACAGGCAGAAAGACAAACAGAGCAAAAACTATATATCCCCAAATCTTCAATTATGGGGGCATGAAAAAATGACAGGAAAGAGACAACAAATAAAGAATCACTATATGGAAGTGATTAAACATATATCACATTCAGGTGGAACTTCATACAAACATGGCCATCGGCCAGACACTAGAATTCATCTTCAGTCTCTCCATGTTATCCCCAGCCTAAAATAGACAAGATGAGCAAGCTTAAAAGAATTCAGTCAGTTGAAAAATGCATTATCAAATATCAAACAATTCAGTCAGTTGAAAAATGCATTATCAAATATCAGACAATTTCAATCAGTTGAAAAATGCATTATCAAATATCAAACAATTCAGTCAGTTGAATAATGCATTATCAAGTATCAAACAATTCAGTCGGATGAATAATGCATTATCAAATATCAAACAATTCAGTCACTTGAATAATGCATTATCAAGTATCAAACAATTCAGTCAGTCAAATTATGCATTATCAAATACCAAATCATTTATCAAAGCAACAAGAAAAACAAGATGTGATTATGAAACACTGATGTCCCCGTATGGCAGCTTATGGCAGATTAAAGTTTCTCAAATGCAAGTCAAACTCCAGGTCAAGAGATCAAAAATAATGGTACTCAAAGAAGGATCTTGTCTCGAGGAATATACTTGTGAAATATGAAAGCCCTAGCACCAACTGTTGAAAAGTTTTGGTGAAGGTTACAGTTTTTTAAAAGTAAGTAAAACGTCAAAGTCAAATGGTGCCCAGGGGAAGGTCTTGTCACAAGTGATACACATGTTCATGAAATGTGAAAGACCTAGAACCAAACGTTCAAATGTTATAGCCAAGGTTAAGGTTTTTCAAAAGTAGGTCAAACTCCAAGGTTAAGGTCAAAGGGTCAAAGTTGTTGGTATCCAAAGGAAGATCTTGACACAAGGAATGCACATGTGAAGTATGAAATCCTCAGCATCAACTGTTTAAAAGTTATGGTCAAGGTTAAAGTTTTTCAAAAGTAGGTCAAACTCAAGGGTCAAGGTCAAAGACGTTGGTATCCAAGGAAGGTCTTGTCATAAGTAATACACGTGAAGTATGAAAACCCTAGCACTAACTGTTAAAAAAATATGGTCAAGGTTAAAGTTTTCAAAATTAAAGTAGATCAAACTCTAAGGTCAAGGTCAAAGTTGTTGGTATCCAAGGGAAGGTCTTTTCACAAGGCATACACAGGTGAAGAATGAAAGCCCTAGCACTAACTGTTCAAAAGTTATGGCCAAGGTTAAAGTTTTTTCCCCAAGTAGGTCAAACTCCAAGGTAAAGGTTAAACTGTTTAAAGTTATTGGTATCCAAAGAAAGGTCTATCACAAAAATACACATGTGAGGTTTGAAAGCCTAAACACCAACTGTTCAAAAAGCATGGCCAAGGTTAAAGTCTCATGAAATTTTGCAAAAGTGGGTCAAATTCCAAGGTAAAGGTCAAATACGATGGTACCTAAAGAAAGGTCTTGTCACAAGGAATACACATGTGAAATATGAAAGCCATAGGTCCAAACAATCAAAAGTTATGAGCAAGTATCAGAGATTTGAAAAGAATATAGTTTTTGCCCTGACGTCTGTCTGCCTGTTTGTCTGCAAAAACTTTAACCTTGCCCATAACTTTGATTGGTTGGAGCTATGGCTTTCATATTTCACATGAGTATTCCTTGTGACAAGACATTTCTTTGGATACCAATTTATTTGACCTTTTGACCTTGGAGTTTGACCCAGTTTTGCAAAATTTTGCCAAACTTGAACCTTGGCCATAACTTTTTAACAATTGGTGCTAGGGCTTTCATATTTCACATATGTATAATCCTTGTGTCAAGACCTTCCTTTGGATACCAACAACTTTGACCCTTTGACCCGGACCTTGGAGTTTGACCTACTTTTGAAAAACTTTAACCTTGGCCATAACTTTTGAACAGTTGGTGCCAGGGCTTTCATATCTAATGTCTATTTCTTGTGACAAGACCTTTCTTTGGGTACCAACAATTGTAATGCATTGACCTTGACCTTGGAGTTTGACCTACTTTTGAAAAACTTTACTCTTGGCCATAACTTCTGAACAATTGATGCTATGGCTTTCATATTTCACATGTGTATTTCTTGTGAGAAGGCCTTTCCTTGGACACCATTAATTTTGACCATTTGACCTTGACCTTGATGTTTGACTTACTTTTGAAAAACTTTAACCTTTTCCATATCTATTCAATTGCTGCTTCTAGGGCTTTCATATTTCACTGATATATTCCTCAAGACAAGACTTTGCTTTGGGTACCAACATATGTTGATTTGCATTTAATAAGAAAGTTTAACCTTTGCTATAAGTTGCCATACAGGGACATCAGTGTTTCACAAACACATCTTGTTTTTTAATAACAATTCTGTATTTCACAGGCAGGTAGGTTAAGGCTTCCCGTAGAATATGACAGTGCACTCTGTGCCTTCACATCTCTGAATTACCAAAATATGATGTCATATTGAAAAATGACGTCAGGTCACTGCAAACTTGAGGTGTTATGACGGGGAGAGTGTCATGAACTTTACACTTTATTTCAAACTGCATGTAAAATGCTAAATAGCTATTGCAAAATTCACGGGGCATTAAAGGTTTTTTAAGTCTTATATGTCCGAATATTTTAAAAATACACCGCTTACCTACCCTTGATTGGAATTCATCATGTTCAAAATGCTTATGAAAAATATACTTTTGATATGTACTCTGTTTTATACCCGTGGTTGGAGGTAGAATTGATTTTGTGTGTATAAAAGAGTCTGGCGCAGGTGATTAATGAGGATTAATCTGAGAATTTTTGTGGAAATCTATAAGTAGAGGTTGTTCTCTAACTGAATCTTGCTTGGGAAAAATGTTTTAATACAGATTACGATATTGTGTGAAATTACCCTCAAATTTATTGGTAAGTTGAATTTCTCAGGAAATATTTTGTACCCAAGTAATACTATGACTTTTCCCAAGCACATTTTGGATACACAAGGACACGATGAGTTTATTTATATAACAATTTGAAAATGTTAATAATTATTGTCACAGTGTTAATCAGCTGCGCTGAAGCGATTTATATTAAACACTTCAAAAAAATTATAAATGACCATCACGTGATCAACAAAATCATGTGATATCATAACAAATATGCTAATATATAGCCGAGGAAATCCTTTATATAAATTGGAAGTACTAAAGTTCAATACTTATAAATTAAAACCAAAATCGACCTCGCAATGACATATTACGTTTTGAGCGCATTTTAAAGCTTCGGGAAGCCTTAACATAGCTGCGCAGATTTTAATTTTTTGATAAATTTCTAATGGTTGGTTAATTCAATCAGCTTTGGTCACAAATACACCTTTGTTTCAAGAATGACTTTCAACTATGCTTCCCTGTATTTTAAGATATGCAAAGACACAGCAATTCATGTACAAAATACAATTCCTCAAAATTTTACTGTGGTATACAATAGTATAATTTCCCCCTTTCAAATAGGGCATAAAGACATTCTCTGCAGTAGCTTGAATACCTCTAAGCCCAGTAAACCTTTAGTGGTTAAATCTGGTAAAAATTGTACACATGGTTCTGCAGACATTGTTCCAATAGTGAATACAGTTCACCTGAAACAAACTAGAAAGATTCTTCCTGGCTTTGCAGAACTAAAAGGTAAGATATTTTATTGTAACAACTTACTGTTCATTCACACATTTTGTAATTGATGGATCTGTTGGAAGGTAATCAAACTTCTTCCCAATGGAGGCTTGGTAAAGCCAAGTTGAATTTCTCACTGCTGACATAAACCTCTCTTCACCAAGTTGTGGTACAAGCTTGCATGTCCCCTTTATAGAATTTAAAGCTCTTGGAGGCATGGCTGTGCAAAATTTATTATGATTGATCATCAACCACAAGTCGACCATTGCGGCAAATTTCAGTGAATTATCTTCTTCAAATACCTTCATACTTCCTTGACACGCTTTCAGAAGAAAGTCATGCCTGGCATCATATGCTGTGATGTCATATGAATTTCTGGAGAGGCTGCAGACTGGTACAACACAAAGTTTTGATGAATTAAGTCCACCTAGTTTACCATTCATGAGTCCTTTATATTTACAAATAGATGCCGCAATTGCCTGTTTACAAGTCTGACGTAGAGTTTCTTCAGCATCAAAATCAGAAAATTCTTCTCCTTCTTCTATGGCACTTGAATCCTCATTCAATTCAAAATCCCTATCATCACAATCAATATAACCAGTCTTTTGTTGACTGTCCCTGACCACATTGAAAACAGCTGAGGCTGTGTTGTCTACTTCCACCATGGACATATCTTTGTTGTCTGGGAACAAAACGAAATCCATTTCACCCTGAAATAGTTGTGGGCACCCTGAGAGGGAAAAAAACACATATTTATCATTCCAGTGCATCTTCAAATCATTAAACATTTGATATGAAAACAACAGCAAGTGTCAACATCTTTTTAATGAATATTAAGTAATACTTTTCAGATGATACCACCTATCTGTTTCTTGTCTGCTGCTTATTAAAATGTTCTTAATGTTAAATTTTAGATAATTGTGTACTTTGTTGCTCTAAACACAGTTTGTAATCGTAACTTTCAAAACTAAGACCTGAATTGAAGACAGACAGATTGATGGAAGACCTGAGAGATAGTACTCCATACCCACTCATGAAGGAGAAAGTTTGTAATCGTAACTTTTAAAACTAAGACCTGAATTGAAGACAGACAGATTGATGGAAGACCTGAGAGATAGTAATCCATACCCACTCATGAAGGAGAAAGTTTGTAATCATAACTTTCAAAACTAAGACCTGAATTGAAGACAGACAGATTGATGGAAGACCTGAGAGATAGTAATCCATACCCACTCATGAAGGAGAAAGTTTGTAATCGTAACTTTCAAAACTAAGACCTGAATTGAAGACAGACAGATTAATTGAAGACCTGGGAGATAGCAATTCATACCCACTCATGAAGGAGAAAGTACTGTAACTTGCAGAGTACAAAAGGATGCTCTTTAAATCCATGTATTGAAATACCAAGATTGGTGGTGAAACAAATGACCATGATGCCTGATGTTGTCTGTCTAAAATTGTACAACATTTTTTCTAAAGGTAAAATTGGAAGCTATAACACTTACCAAGATGGGTAAATCCGAACTGTACTGGAACCCCGCATCCACATGGGCACTCATTTGGTTTACCTCTTGAGAACCGATTTAGATAATAATTTGATGGATAGGGTAAAAGTCGAGAGAGCAGGTGTTCTGCAAGGATGGCTGCTACTTGTATCTCTGTTAATTCTTCCTTTGCATCATGTAACTTTTCCAAACACTCCTCATGGTGCCCTGTCAATAATTTAAACAGATGAACATGAATAACAATGGTTAATTTTCTGTTCATATATTCAGGGCTCTCTATCATCTATAACTGGGGCCATTCAAAGGCCCCATTCCCAATTAAAAAAAAGGTACCTTTTTTCCTGATTGAATGTGTTAATTTTCCCAATAGTCATTTCTCCCAAAAATTAAAGAAAATATATTTGGATAATATAAATGTATTAGAACTACATGTATACTTGCTATACATATACCTCTGTATTGCAAAACAAACATTTAGTTGATAACAAAGAGCAGAAACCCAATAATATCATGGTTTTAAGGTAATAAGGAAACTATAAAGGTTATCCCAAAATTCCCCTAAAGGTCGCTAATTTCTCAATCTTTACGGTCCCGGCCCATTCCCAAAACGTGATGTGAAAGCCCTATTATTCCTTTTTTTCTACCAAGGAAGGCAGTCTTGAGGAACACGCAAAATCTGAGAATCTGAGAGTGTAGTTCGATTTTTTTTTCTAAACTGAACAGAAATATAGCTGATCATCAATCATTAAGCTAAATGATTTGAATTTTTTACCCTCTAAGCAAAACAAACATCAGATCAATCACACCAAGTAACCATTTTAAGCCACCACTTTTTGACAGTAAATTTTAGATTGTACTTGTCAAAAATATTTATTTTGATTAATCTGTCTTGATGATGTAAATATTTATGGGTTTTTTTCACAATACATTTGTATGCTTTTTTTTTTTTTTTTTTTTTTAATTTATATAATTTTCAATAAAATTAACTTGATAATCAAATAATGAATGCTTTAATTTTCTTAAAAGCACATTCAAAATAACAAACTATTTATTTTTAAACTAAATTAAAGTCTTGATACTGAAAATCTGTGTTTTAAAACTCAGTGAAATATCATGTCATAGCTACATGTAGTGTAGCTCAGGTGGATATCTGGACCAATGCCTGTGGTGAATACATCAGTCCAAATATTAAGCCAATGTAAATCTCAGTGATATAACATCCATATTTGGCCTGGTAAATACTTTCCATTTTAGTAGACCTTGACAAGTTACAGGGTATGTTATGGTAACATTTAAGACAGATAATTGATATATGACCCACTGTTGTAAAATCAGGAAAAATATAATATTATACCTCTGTGAATTTTTTCTTTATAAAAACATGATGAATAAACTTTTTGCTAAACAGACCCTACTTTTGAATAATTTTTGTGCTATTTGCCCATGATGAAATAGTCATCGGACTATTCACTGACAGCATTCTGTTTCCCTCACATATCATTTCTTAACTCTTCTGGTTTTATCCAGATTGTAACGTGACACAAGTAAAGTTTGCTTCGTTATAATAAGACGCCATTTTTCCGGCTATGAGGACAATAGCAAGTTTATTGTCCTCCCTCAACAGCAACTATTTCCCTCTGCTGCACCTCAGGAAATAGCTGCTGTCTTGGGGCACAATAAACTTTCTATTGCTCATAGCCAGTAAATAGGTGTACGAGTATGCTGTAAACCAACTATTATTCGCGTCATCTTTTATTCACTATTCGTCAGTTTGAAATCAATCCACGACTGGGAATATATTCTCTATGAATACAAAGCAAAATTAATGATTCGAGGCGAATAATATTTGTGAGTTAAAGTAGGTTGCGAAACTTGTGGAAATTTCTTGCACATGAATAAAAGTTGGTTTACAGTACTTATCATACTATAACATTGAATCATAAAAATTAATATCTTGTGATTATACCTTTTTCATTGAAAAATCGCTCTAGTGCTAGTAACGCAATTGCAGTATCAGGCTCAAGTCGTCCATCGTTAATGTAGGAGTTCAGAGCTTGATATCCTTTTGCAAATAAAATGGATGAAGAAATATTTTTATAAAGGTAATGTCCATCTGATCCTGGGATCCTGTGCCAGATAAATCGCCAATTTCCACAGTGTTCATTGAAATTCTCCGATAACGGTAAGCTCACAGATTGTCTATCAATACCAAAGCAACCAAGAGCTTCTATTAAACCGAGTTTAAAACTGTGAGTTTCTATGTAATAAAATAAATTTTCCTTCAAAATTTCTTGTTTGGCTCTGCTTATTCTGTCTCTCGATGAAACGAAATTTCGCTCAAAGAAACGTGTTGGATGCCGTATACAAAATGAGTACTTTCTGTGCACACCTAATATTGCAGATCTAAGTAATAATGCCATCAAATTTAAATGTGTTACTGTACACAAAATATTCTAGATTCTATTTCATCCTACTTTCAGTTTTTCGCGCACTCTCCATTTATACTGGTTACCGAGGCCTTCCGAATACGCTGGACATGTACGTTGGTTCCCAAGGAATTCCGAGAACAGTTTCGGAAGGTCTCGGAAACCAAACCAGCGAACTTGTTAATGAAAGGTGAGATAATTGTTATTGGGTTAAAGCAAGGAACAAGAAGTTAGTTTTAATTTGCACAAAACTGAATACTCAATGTAGATTTTTAATGATTATGTACAGTCATTGATCAGGTGTTGATGTTATTCAGTAGAAACTCTTGCATAGGACGGATACACGTGCTAAGGTCAACAAAATTGTACTCCGACCAACCCATCAAAATTGCCTCTACCCAATCATTTCCTCCACTACTTTAAGTTCCTTTTTTTTCGTAAAAATAAGTTTTATCTGTATCATTTTGAAAGTTAAAGGTCATATGAAACAATTCTAAACACTAGAATTTCACTTTTTAAACCTAAAGCTATATCCATGTTGAATCCGGGATGTTTCGCGCCAATTCTGTTTCGCACTGAGATGGTTCGCGCCAATATGATTCGCTCCAATTTCGACGCGAAACATCTCACGTTTTATTTTAAATAATTCATCACATTTTGATCGTTTTTTAATTATTTATTAAATACATTGTATAGGATATGAAATACGTTGAGTGCTAAAATTCATGACATAATAATATGCACTGCCAAAAGGTGCCCATTTGGTCAACTTGTGTGTTCAACAATTCAATGAGGATTTACCTGTAATTAGTTGGAGATCAAAAGGTGGTAATTCGACGTGTGGATTGCCCAAGCCAGCAATAATTACTTAATTAGATGGCGGTATTATAATTATGTTTAAGTATATCTACTGTATACATAATAAGCATGGTGTTAAAATATGTTCATAATTATGCTATGTATGCTTCAAAAAATCTTCTTAATTTAAAAAAAAAAAAAAACTAATGTTCCAAAAAATATCTATGTTTACAAGTTTTAAAATCTAAAACTTTTGTTAAACGAACTAAACTCAGTAGCACGTTTATACTTGGAGCAAAACATCGAGGGGCGAACCATCTCAGGGCGAAACAGAATTGGCGCGAAACATTGTGGGGCGAACCATGCATTGGCGCGAAACATCCCGTTACCTCCATGTTGACCGTATATATGAAAGAATGTTAAATTACGAGTATAAAAATATTTTTTGGCCTTTGTCCTACTGAAAAATAAAGGTATAAAGTATTCCATTTGTTGCTTTTCTTACCTGCTTATTGTTCTTGATTTTGTGGTTTTATGATGTCACAAAGGCCCAATGATGTAAACAGAGCATTGGACATAATGTAAATTATCTACTCTATTTTATCAAGTTAATTTTAGTTATTTTGTTAATGAAAAAGCGTGACTTTGTTTTAGGATGAGTTATATGATTTCGTAGTTCAGTCAATTCAATTTGAACAAGTCGTTAATGAAAACGGGGCTTTTCTTTGGAAGATGATCCTGATGAATATCCTTTAAAAATTATGCTTTTACCCTTCAAATATGATTACTTACTCTAAATCAAAACTTCTGAAACAAATTAAATATCATTCTCCCTTTTTTATACATGTATATCAAGAGGATTTCATCGTCTTTAAAAAAATATATTAAATGTCCTTTTTAATTCAAAGAAAATCGCCTGATGCAACAAAAAATATTAGAATAATTTATTAAAAGTAATATATCAACATACAATAAAAAAATTGATTAGGCCAGTAGTGTTAAATTCAGACCCTAAAAAGGGCATGGTAATCCAATTATCAAAAGGGCACTTTATGCTGCGACAAGTTTTCATGAGGGCACTTTTTTTAACGTCTTTGAAATTATAAATATTTTCTTTATCATGTTTATGTACTTAAATTATTATTTAATACTGAAATCTTTAGTTATACAAGTATCTAAAAGAAAAATTTATAAATCTGTCAGCTTAATTCATTTAATACACACTGAGAGGGCAATTATTGCCAAAATTTATATTCAAATTTTTTAATCAAGAAATTAGTATGGTTATCAAGGTTATGCTTAAAAAGTAATAGGTGTGAATCTTTTTGTCACTTGCTCAAAAATTATTTTAGTTTGGGGTATGAATATTTTTTCCTTACTTGAATATTGTTATTTGTGTATGAGGTAAATAACATTTTGTAAAAGGAAATCAGGAATATCCCTCACGTGTATCCCAAATTAAAATAAACATGGGTACCAGTGGTATTGAAGTTCATGATAAGCGTGTAAAACAAAAAATGTAATCATGTTTGAAGTTTCGTTTTTGCTGATCTCAAACACATATATTGCTGCAATTTGAATCGATATAGCAATAGAATCCCTGAGTATATGACAACATGATCGTATTCTCATAGATACTTATAAATGTACAGTGTATATAGTATGTATTAAATTTTACTAAGTTGAAAAATATCAATTTCTTATTTATTCAATGAATCCTTATTTTTATTTCATAGAAGTATTTTCACTTGTTGAAGCCATTATTTATTTCATTTTTTTTTCTTCATATATTTTTTTTTGTTTAAAAGTTGTTTGTACTAACTCGTATATATACAAGTTCATGTCAGAGTTATTATTAAACCATCTGCAAGAGTGTTAAATTTCAAGAATTTTCTATTACAAAAGTAAAGAAAAACACGGAGAGGGGGTGGGGGTGGGGGGCGACGAATCTCGAGACGGGAGTTGATGGTAGAGTGTTGTACATGAGTAAGTGAATATAAATAGAATATAAACATGATAAATGTCACTCAGATAATTAGAATTGAATAAATTGTATAAAACACTAACAAAATAAAAATTTCATTTGTGTGTGTATGTTTTTAAAAAGGCCATATAATTATATACAGTGCATAAGTGGTGCATTCAAAAGGTCAATATTGTCAAGGAAAATTGAATCATTGACCACGTTGGACTCTTTATGATAAAACTATGTTGGAAATAAATGCCCTGCTTATGAAAAAGTGACTTCATTCCCACTCCTCCCATCTTTCTCTCTTGATGATCGCTTTATCGATCGAAGTGCCAAACGATGAAAATGATGAAACCTGCAAACATCTTGCAAATATGCAATGAAATTTATAAAAAAAAGAATACAAACCTGTTTGAAGATCAAAAAATTTTACAAAGTTTAAGCCATGATTATCCTATTTCTTAAAATTTTGCTGCAAAATGGCATGACAGTTTGTAAACATTGCACAGCTTTGTTTGTTTGTTTGTATATTGTTTAACGTCCCTCTCGAGAATTTTTCACTCATATGGAGACTCCACCACTTGCCGGTGGAAAGCTGCAAATTTTGTCCTATACTCGGCACTTACAGCCATTGAGCAGTGAGGGATCTTTTTCATGCCAGCACCTACTGCTACACGGGACCTCGGTTTATATGGTCTCATCCGAAGGACCGGTCTCCACATAACACAGTGGGATTCAAGCCCGCGACGTAAGGATCAACTCCTTACTTCGCAAGTCTAGAGCAGACACTCTAACCAAGCTGCGCCACGAGGGCACACAGCTTTGAACAGCGACTGGGTCTTTCTGACATCATAGGCTAAGGGAGGTAGCAACGTAAGTTAAAGCTCATTTTCACGATTGAGTAATTTTGATCGTGTTGTCGCTATCTTGCATAAAAAATCCAAGAAACATTTTCAGTCTTATTTAATCATCTCAGATGAACTTATTACCGTATGTAACTCAATATGTTAAGGTATTTCTTTCCTATGACCTTTAAGACCTATCATTTGTCTATGATGTTTTTTCATGTTTTTTAGATGAAAATATTAACAGCAATAAATATATATTTAATATGTTTAACGGTTAGCTGTCAGGTGTCTATAGTGAAAAATTCTAAGTCTGTAGATTAACAATGATTTTTAGAATGTTAGAAAATTATTTGACAAAAATATATATTTATATATCTACCTACCCATCATGAAAAATGTGGGTGGAAGTACATCAAACAAAATTTTGTTGAGATGATGGCCTTACAAATAGACCTTGATTATTGTGCACTGGTTTAACAAATAGACTTGGACTAATATGTAACTAGCCTAGAAATTAGCCTAGAATTTATGCTGAAAAGGCATAATTTTTGTAAAACATAAAAAAAGATGTGTAATTAGTCAAATAAAAAAAAAATTAAGAAGGGTGTAAAAATTTTACAGTAAAATTAAAGAAATTTAAAGATGATGTACTTTTTTTGCACCTTTATTTAACATGTTTAAGCTCCAAACATCTGATTAAAATTTGTCTGCTCTCCTTCTGTCCTTTTAGATGTCTGTCTATTATAATTATTTTTGACTTTTTGTCTGGAGCAAAAGTACAGTCAAACTTACAATGTAGCTCAGAGTATTCTTGGGTGTTGGAATAATATCCAACTGTGTCTCGCTGGGTAGCCCTCACTTACAGTAGGGTGTTGTTAAAATGTGGAGTGGAAAGCGGAATGGAAATGGACAATCTTCCATCTATTTTTTTATTTGGCATTTTATTAAAATATCAATACAATGTGATTCATTAAAATGTTAATGATCTTTTTCAGCTGTAGAATATACATGTACACGCGATGACTAACAATTTGACTCACGCCCCTACCCAGTGTCTATCTGAATTCCAACCCAGTGTCTATCTGAATTCCAACCCAGTGTCTATCTGAATTCCTACCCAGTGTCTATCTGAATTCCAACCCAGTGTCTATCTGAATTCCAACCCAGTGTCTATCTGAATTCCAACCCAGTGTCTATCTGAATTCCTTGTATATCTCATACCTATTATAAATCTGAAAAAAAATAGAGCTTATCCTTCAGAGACAAAACATTTATGAAACAGGTAAAATTGTATGACTCAGGCATAGAGAATATAAACATTTAGGTCCATAGTTGTTATTGGAGAAGGGGGGCACAACCAAGAAATTTCAGTTGGGGAAGGGGGGGCACTATTGAGAAGGCACAAGCATAAATACTATATACTGGCAATATTATTTGGGAGAACATGGAAGAGGGCACATCCTGTTGAACATTAATTTTGTTATAAACTCTACATATTTATCGAAAATTGTGCTGTTATCTCACAGTAACTAAGGTTTAAATATCAAATTCTGATAATCATATTGATCAGGGTAG